AGCCGCAGGTACGCGAGGAGGGCCCGCACCCCGGCGAGGTCGTCGGGCACCACCCCTTTCAGCTCCCGCGCGGGGATCCGTTTGGATCGCAACAGCTCCGCGTAGGTCGCGACGCCGCGGCGGGTCCGGCAGAGAATCGCGATGTCGCCATACCCTAACCCCGGGTCCCGGGCGCGTAGGGTGTGTTCGATAATAAACGGAACCGCCTGCTCCGCATCCCAGCTTCCACGGCAGCGCACCAACGTGATCTTTCGATTCTCCCGGTTGTGGTGGCTCCTCTGATTGGTCGAGACGAGGGTATTCAACGCGGAGACGATCGCGCAGTCGCTGCGGTAGTTCACCTCGAGGACTTTGATTTCGGTTTGCGGAAAGCGACCTTTCCAGGCCTCGAACACCCCCCGCATCGCCCCTCTCCAGGAGTAAATGCACTGGTTCGGGTCTCCCACACAGGTCACCCGGCAGGCCTCGCCCGCCAGGAGCGCCAGGATATCAAACTGAACCTCATTAAAATCCTGAAACTCATCCACGATGATGTGCGTGAACTCCTGACGAAGGCACGCGCAAACCGGGGATGGGGTGCTGCCCGAGGCGGATCCCACCTCGCCATCCTCGCCGCCCCCACGCAAAGGCGGCATGGAAGGCCCTTGGGGGTCCTCCCCGGCAGGGAGCCCGCTTCCCTCCCCGACTTTCGAGGGCCGGAGGAGGTCGCAGAACATGCGCTGCAGATCCCCGAAATCGACCGCCCCGCAGACCTCGTGCAGCTCGTGTTCGTAAAACGGAAACAAATACGCGTCCTGCACCATTGGGTTGGACTGCCCGGGCGCGGGGTCTTTTTTTGTTTTCGCGCGATTCACGAACTCGACGAGGTCGTCGACGGCCTCGGCGCTTTTCTGATGCACCGCATACCGCTCGACAATCCGCTGCGCGAGTTTCCGCTGCCGCCCGGCGTCGTAAAGCTCGACCGCGTCGGAGAGCACCCCAAACCGGCGGAGGCACTCCAACCCGAAGGCGTGGAGGGTTTTGATCTTCAAAAGATGCACCTCGCGCTGCAACCCATCCGGGAGGACCGCCTGAACGCGCCACCGCAGCGTCTCGGCGGCCTGACGGGTGAAACAAATCGCGAGCACCCGCCGTGCGGGGACGCCCGCGAGGAGGAGAAACGCCACGCGCACCGCCATCGTCTGCGTTTTTCCGCTCCCCGCCCCCGCCTTGACGAGGAGGGGGCGGTGGGGGTCGAAGCAGGCGGCCGCGCGCTGCGAGGGGTCCATCCGGGCGAGCGCCGCCGCCAGCGCCGGGGGATATGAAAGCGAGGGCGACGACGGGGGATCCACAGGGGCATCCCGCCCCTCCTTTTCCCCCGTCGCGGTTTCCTTTTCGACCCCGAAATGAGCCGTCGAGGAGGACGCGGAAGGGGGGTCGGGGGGGTTGGACGCCGGCGAGGGTCCGCTCGGGGCGCTGCGGAAGGTGAAGGAGGTCCGTGGGGCCCCACCTCCTCCCCTTCCCCCACGCACGCGAGGATTCCACAGCGGAAGCCGGATCGGATGGGAATCGGCGGCGCTCAGCAATCTACCCCCATCGGGCTCTCTGTCGCCGCTATTTTGACTCATGCGTTCTATTGGGGTGCACGGTGTAGAAAAAGAAAAAAAGAAAAAAAGAAAAGAAAATGAATGGTGGGTCGATGTCTATGGTTATGATTCTTATGAAGTGACCTTTCTGCAGGTATGCGTGTGCGTGTGTGTGCACTAAAAAGTGAACTTGAAACTGGAAATGGTTATGAATAATGCCGACAAGAGATGTAAGGCTGTAGTTACAGTGAGAATTTCCGTTTTCCTCTTTCCAACGATTTTTACGGGCTTCTCTCATATCGTGTAATCCTCTGCGACTGTCGACCTAAGTGATGTTTACAGTAAGTCACGTATAGAATAAATAACGAGTTACACATGTTATCACTTGAAAAGGAAATGGAGCAGGGTAAAACATAATGCAAGGTATCGAGTTCGACACAGTGGACCCTGCTTAACAATCTTGTAGGGAAACCCAAAGGAACCCCCTAATGTCGCGCGCACCAAGGAGAAGCAAGTACGAGATAGGAATCGAAAGGGTTTCGCCGAAAAATGCAAAAAAATATGTGGTGCGAAGAAAATAATATAAGAACAATAGAAGCACAAAGTTCTATACATTTTGTATTTTTGCTTAAATAGAGCTACGGTGCTAAAAAGCAACTCTTGAATCGGACTAATCCATTTTTCTAACTGAAAAGGGATTCTTGTCACATGCTTTCCCCCCTCCACTCTGTCGCCCTCTAACCATTTACCTAAACTCAACTTATTTGTGAACTGCCGAATCCAAAATCTGAGCTAGTTTCACTAGCATGCGAATTGTTATCCCAAGTATCCAAAACCGTTTGTGGAACAAACGGCAATGACGTGATATCACGCAGCACATCCTCCATGGTCCGATTGTCAATCGCAACGGCGTTGATTTGCCGAGGTGGCGGCCGCGCCTCGTCGACGCGGGGCCTCTGCAGACGCCTTTTCAACGCATCCGCGCGCTGCACCATCCCCTGAAACAACACTCGGCTGCAATCGCTGCACCCCGTACATCGCGTTACGACGAGGCCGACGAAATCCGGCGGCAGCCGCTCCGCAGGGGGGCGGCCGTACGGCGTTAACTCCCTTCGCCCTCCGAGCAGCGTCGCCCGGGGCACCCTCAACGCCGTCATCTCCGCATCAGGCTGCTGAGAAGACGGGGGCTGCCGCGCGGAGGTCTGCCGGCGATGCGCCTCGATCTTCTCGTGCGAGATGAAGCCCCAGCCGACGAAATTCAAGCAGTTTAAGCAATTACAAAAGCACCACTCGTAGCCGGTGAAAAAAGAGTGCTCGGCGCTGTAAGGGCCGTAAAAATCAAACGTGGAGACCTTGCGCAACCCACGAAGTTCCTCCTCGGGGTCGGTGAGCGGGGGGGGCATCGAAATCCCCGATCCCTGCGCGCACGCCTTTTCCAAATCCTCGCGCGCGAGCTCCCGAATCGTCACCTCCGGCTGCACCCGCACAACGTCAAAGCGGTTCGCGTTTGGGTTCGTCGCGGAGTACGTCCAGATGGGTCGGTCATTTCCAAAAAGATCCAGCTCATACGCAAAGACGTGCTTCCGCCACGCCTTCTCCGCGTATTCGTGCAAAATCTCATCCACCGACGCGAGGGGGAAGCGGCAATCCGCACAAAGCAAGACGTCGATCTCTTCGTCGTTTTTACCGCCAATGGAGAGCTGTTTCGATTCGGGGGAGGTTCGGTTGCTGTGGCTGACGGATCCTTCTAAATCAGGCCTCTCACGGCCCGGCTCTTCCACGAAGCCAAAGGAAGTCTGGCGGGTGTGGGGGACTCGAATATCTCCGCGCCACCATGGGGTGCCCAGGGTGGCTGGGAAGCCAGCATTCAAAGGAGCCCGATCCCCGGGCTCACTGTTATCGGCATCTGAGTTGGAGCTCATCTTTCACGGTAGGGAATCCAACGCTGAAGAACTCTAGTGCTTGTAGTAGATGTCGTTAGTAAGAGCGAAACTAGCCCTTCGCCTCGACGACGGGTTTGTGAATACGCGGATCTCTCTTTCCTAAAAAAAACAAGCCTAGGTGGCTTTGAAAGGAAACACAATGAGGTGTAGGCAGTGGTGAGAGGAAGGAAATGATGTTGGAGAAAATCTAACACGACACTCAGCATGACAAATATGCAAGCACAAGCAGAAGATAACTACAACAAAAGACTTCTCCGCACATTTATCTGCACACAGGTGGATACATAGACTTCGAAATCCTAGCGGAATGATGGAATCAAAATCTGCTCATGCTTCACGACTTCAAAAAAAGTGAAAAAGGAGTGCCATACAACTTAAAGTGCAAGGGAAGGAGATGAATTTTAGGTAAAAGAAATCGTCTTTGGGATTAATGCGGGGCATCCATCCTCCTGCTCAAAGCCTGTAGGTTGACGATGAAGAGAATGCTTGCTGCTAAGCAGTTGAGCCTTGGTGTAGCTCTTCAACTGCCTGACGAAACCTGGGTTCGGGCGCGCACACAGCCGGATGCTTTGCATGTAATCGATAGTTACCTTGACGTATTCCTCGGCTAGCGTCGACGTCGTCTTCTTTATTTCGCCGAGAGCTGTCTTCGGTGTCGGATGATGGGCTTTCGATGCGCCGGGATGGCGCCGCCATCCCTCCAGCCAGAGGCTGAGAAGAAAAGCCCCTACCACCGTCGTCGACCGCGACCTCCCCGCCGCACAGTGAACCACCACCGAAGGCCTCCCCCTTGCCGCGCTAACACGCAAATCCCCCTCCGCTCGTTTGCAATGTGAAGCGATTTCAGAAGGATCCACTGGGCGATCCTCGTCCAAAATCGTCTCCTCTTGTGGGTCGCTCGACTTCCGGAGCGCGGCATCATTGGCGTTCGACAAACGTTCACCGATCGTTAATTCGGTGCCGGATGCGGTAAGCACGGCAAAAATAATGAACGATACGACGCTGAAGTATTGAGAGATGGACGCATTCTCATTATCGAAAACTGGTAGCGCAATCCGCCAGTAAAAAAGGTGTTTTTCCTTTTTATCGGACGAATAATTTTGAGATTTCTCACTACCTTGGTGGTTCTTAAACGAAGCATTGGAGCCAGCATGCGATGCTACCACATCGCATCGGACGCGCTCCATCCAATCAAAAAACCGCCGTGCAATTCGCTTCTGGGAAAGATACGCCCCCTCTACGCGATTCGACGCCGTTTCCTTCGACGAATCGTCGATCGCCCGATTCGCGGAGGAGGATGACGGCGCGCCACTCGTTAGCGTGGTCGGCTGCTCCGCGGCATCGATCTCGAAAAGGGTTCGGATCTGTTCGCGAATATCACTCAGCCTGAAGCTGCGGCAGGCGTAGCCAAACCCCCCCCCTACGCGGTGCAGTTTTTCCACGTGTTGCCTTATGTTGCTTCGCGGGACGTGGGGTTGATTCGCCGTTGAAGAGCCCTCCAGCGGCTCCAGCCGCATTAGCTCGAGCTGCGCGCACGGAAGCAGCGTAGCGCAGGCGGAAACTAAAAGGTAGAGCTCGTGAGGCCTCGGCGACGGAGTTTCCCGGGAGACATCCAAAGCGGGTAAAGAACACGATGCCGCGGGCAAAGGAAGCTTCGCCTCCTCCGGAATCTCTCGCCGCACGGCCTCCGCTCCCTTGGGCACCTCTTCACCTTTGATTTCCTTCTTTTCACGTAGTGATCCGGATCTCAACCTCCCCGTACTTTTCCTCTGCGAAGAATCCTCCATAATTTGAAGAGTGCTGTCGTGGGGGCTCACACGTCGGGCAGACTCATTCCATATTTTCTGTCTCAGCGTTTGAATGGGCAGCACGTCACGAAACCCACCGAGGTAGAGCCCCGTAAAGATTTCGTGCGGCCGAAAGCTCTTCCTTATCGTGAACGGAAGCGAGGGCGGCAAATCATAAAAGAATGAATCCAACTCACCATCTGAGATTCCTCCACCGGCGTCTTTTTTCCAATGTTCGAGGAATTGCCGATACTCAATCACCTGTGGATCCATTTTTTTTCTGCTTAAAGAATTGCCCTAGTTTATCAATTTTAGTAATGCTATGGCTGCTAGACTTGACGCATCAATCCAGATGATTGGGGCCCTGTTCAGGAAAAAAAAGAGGATAGCTATTCAACTATGTTTTAGGTTTGAAGAAAAAAGAACAGTCGATGTGAAAAAAATGTTCACGAGTGTGTATATGCACCCCTATGAGATAAATCATCTTCTCATGTTGGGTCCGATATATACTCAACCGCCAGTGTTGTTTATTTGGTGTAAATTTAGATTAGTTCATTTCCACTGTTACTGGCTTCAGGAATACAAGAACCATCACCTTCATTCAGTGGAAAATGATGTCACATGATATGAGTGTACCTAGATTTAGTTTATATATTCTATTTGCAACAAAAACACATACAAGCAATAATATGTTCAAGCGGTGAATCACGTTGGAGATGCAAATGCTCTTTTAGGCACATTTTATTTTGTTATTAATGTTCTCTCCTACACTGAGGAATATAAAGCTCTACAAACTCCTCTCCCTCCTTAGGATAAAAAGCAGTGGATAATGCTATCAAAGAGCATGTCCACATATGGAAACTAAAAGCAAAAAAAGAAATAAATTCAGATTAACATGATTATTCGAAGAGCAGCGCCGAATCATGGAGAAACTTGGCAGTGAATGATTCAACGCGTAAGTGGAAAAGTATAAGGTAAGCCTAACACTTTCCTTGATATAACCAAATCAACGTCAAAGGGGAAGCAAGCTCATTTAAAACGCAGTGCTTTTGCTAAAGAAAAGGTCGCAAAATGAATTTTAATCCATCGCTTTCTCCAATCTAACCTTAACCACCACCATCACCCCCCTCCTTGGCAAATGATCAATCTACAAGTGTACCATGTTCGCCACCTTTTGATCCGCTTTGGAATGTTTCATTCGATTGGTGGAGATATCAGAAAGTTGCGATAGACGTATCGCGTGATTAGAACCCAAACCTGAAGCAGCTTTCGCCACCTCAAAGCCGTATTTTCCAGTCAGAAGGCTGTCAAACACCTCTAAGGGTGTGCGCATGCGGCCATCTTTAACGGCAGGAAGAGCCTTTAGCTCCGCATTCCGCGCACGCTCTTCCACCAACACGGGCGATTTCCATTCCCTCCGCCTCTCTAGCAGACAATCACGCAGGCCATTCAGCACATCCCTTGGGATTTCTTTGCTAAGGGGATCCTCCTCTTCTTCCCCATCTGCATGCATCAGAAGAGCAGACTCTTCGGATAATCGTGCCGTGGGTGCGAGCAGCTCGGAGCTGTGCATATTATCACTTCTCCCCTCTTCCGATTGCTGCTTTTCCGCTTCGTGGGCGCTCACAAGCCGCGGTAATATATTCTCCTCGACGTAATCGACAGGAACAACGTCAACTAAATGCATCGCCGCTTCATTCAATCCGATATATGCGAAACTTGGAGGATAAAAATTGCTTTCTACAGCTGAATGAATCCCCTTATTTGACCCAAGCATGAAATACCGCGGCGGGCATCTCATGAACGAGTGAAAGGCGTTCAAAGGAACGTTATAAGTCGTTCGAGACTTCGCGCGCAACTGCAATGGCGCCATAATGCAGTAAAAATTCTCCTCTGACCCCTGAGCAGGATCGAAAAAGAACTCCGAAACAATACCGGAGCATTGAAAGCGATGAAATTGATTGTCACTCAGGAGGGCGCTCCGCAAGACAGCCGCCAAGCGATATCGCTCCTCCTGGGCTTTCAAAAAGTCTTTGCTAGGCTGATGGCCGCTCGTGGGGTTGACAACCATCAGCAGCACCTTTTCGTTAGTGGTATCATAAATCACAAGATCTATAGTTCCCGTTTTAACAGAGTTAGAATCATTGTTTTCATGATAGCTGTAAGTGCAGGGAACGAGGGCGACGATATGCGGGAGACCGCGCCGCTCAGCCACTTTGCTCGCGAAAATAGTGCGATGCGAGGCGTTGATAGAGGGTACATAGGCGGTTTTACGAGGCAGGAAGCACCTCTTGTAGTCCTCGAAGGCGACGCTGCTCTTGCCGATAATCGTGTTCGGGCCGATTTCCGGGCAATCCGCAGTGAGGCAGGCTAACAACCAATAGCAAAACACCTCGCGATCTCTCGCGAGGATCTCCTCGCCAGGCACTCGCCTGCCGGGCGTGCTTGCGTAGTTCGTGTAGCACGCCTGCGCAATGCGCGGCAGCGAGCACGGCGCGAGGCGACGCGAGAGCACATACTCATCGGAGGCAGAGAGTCCCCGCAGCTCGGCGTCGGAACTGACTTCATTCACCGCGCCGAGCGCTGCATCTGCGCGGCTGACAAGTGAGAGAAGACGATCTATGCCAAAGTCGCGGTAAGTTGCTTCCTCCGCACGAATCAGGCGCTCGACGCGCGCGAGAGCGGTGCCGCGCTCCAGCTCCTCGCGCAGATGGCTCGCCTTCGCGCGCAGCTCCGCGTGCGTTTCGTCTCTAGCCCGCCCCGATCCTCCCCCAACACCACTATCGGGCGTGATTCCTCGAAAAGGAAACGTCTTCGAGCGCGCCTCCTCGAGTAGGCGGGAGAACTCGTCGTCTCGAGAGGGGTTCGTGTCCTTCCCAGGGAGGCGCGTCGGGCTTGTTTGGCTATGCCGCAGTTCGTGCTCCTGTCCCGTTTGTCCCTGCCCTGTACTCTCCGGTGCGATGACCCCTCGTTCCCACGCCACGAGCACGCCGTGCGCCTCGCGGAGACGTCTGTGCTCCTCACTGGCGAGAACGGCCCGCAGCAGGGCCCGTCTCTTTTTAAAGAAGAACTTCGCCCGCGCCCTGGGATCGTCCACGTAGACGTCGATCGCCTCGCCGGCGTCAAGGAAGGGTCGCAGGCGCTCTTGCACATGCGGATCTAAGAAGGCCTTGCGAAGCTGGGCGTGTAGGGCTACCCGAGCGGTGAGCTGATCTACGCGCTCCGAAAGGAGGAAGGCCTCGAACTTTTTATTGTAGCCCTCCGCGGAGAGGAAGTTGGGGTCCCCGGCGTAGAACGTCAAGTCGGTGGCTATGATACAATCAAGAGATCGGGTTGAACAGCTCATGTCTTTTGTTAACGTTTTATCTTTAAGTATATCTCTAAAATAAAAAAAACTAATAAGGACTGCAAACAATAATGTCTTTAACTTTCAAGCAAGCAGAAAGAAAGCAATCTAAGCTGGTAAAAACGCAAAAGAAAAATGGAGTGAATCGTCAGAACGGATCTGACGCATAGAAATTTTATTCCAGGGTTCAAATCAAGAAGAAATAAAAGTGTATCTGAATAATATATATATATATATTACTGAATGCGTGAATAATTGGAATAAGAATTGGAGAAACACCACCTTTGTACACTTGGGTACTCAAAAATCGTATTCTTGAAGTGTCTCTATCCAGAGAACAAAAAAGGGAAACACATCACCTATTCAATTATAAGAATAAAAAACAGCGGCCGTTATTCGGTGATATGTTCCCTTTTTCCAGTCCAGCTGCTTCCCGTGTATCGTTCAACACAACGAGCTTCTTCGCTTTCACTTGAATAAATCCTTGTGCTCCTCGCGTTCTTGGACTTCAGGGATTACGCTCGCGTCGTTTCGCCTCTTCTCCTCCACTCGAACGTGCTCCCAATCCAGCATGTTGATATAATCGCAGTTCTCGATTGGTAAATAGTTGATTACACCGTGAGAGGGCACCTTAATCTTCTCCACTAGCACCTCTGTATTCAGGTAATCACTCACGTTCCCCTCGGAGGCGGCAAGCTCCGCAATAATCTCCGCCAGCGCTACCAGTGTAAAATCCTCTTTGTTAATTGCAAGACTCGTCGCGATGGGAACGTCCGACGATGCTGCCTTTTCTTCGTTGTTGATCGCATTTCCGGCGTTTGGGAAGCTCGCCCCCTCTCCACTGGATGAATTCACCTCTGGTCGAAATTTCAAATCGAGATCCACGCTGTCAATCGCGAGTGGGGTTTTGGATTTTATCATTTGCTTCACCCTCTGCGCGTCGGTAGCTATTCTGGACATCATACGACGCCCTAACACGCCTATTTCGCTATCAATCTCGCCATTTTCGATCGAGGAGGGGGAAGAAATATGAGGGGCTGCGTTACGGCCAGGGTTCACCGCGGACTGTGCGTGCGCATCACACTGTGTAGAGAACCCCCCTTTACTAAAGTGCATCGTGCGCTCATCATAATCATCGCCGTCACTTTTCCGATTTTGGTTTTTTTCATTCTGCAGCGCTGCTGTTTTACGCTCGATATCTGATATCTTGAGATTTATGCCAGATTGATACACATCACGGCGCCGCTGCTGCGAGGTGGAGAGCAGATCGCTATGCGCCGGCAGGGTACTCGCGCGCTCACGCTGCTGTCGCTTTTTTAGAGGCTCAAAACGCTCCAAGATGAGCACCTGTGGTGTTGGATAGCGGTAGTTGATCTCGGAATCGATAAATAGCACACGTGTGGGGTCTGCTTGTATCTCTTCGCACACACATCGAAAGTAATCAGAGTAGTTTCGTGCGTTGCGCTGCAGACGTCGGTCCGTCATCGGGAAGTGGGGAAATCCCTCATCAAATACATAACGGAAGGGCAGGGAAAAGTGACGCTGTGAAAATTGCTTGATATAGCTATCCTCATTAGAGGATCCGACGGCGTTGAAAAGGAGTGTTACATCACAACGCAGATGTTTGAGGGTTTCCACCAGATAGTGTAAATAAGGACGTGGTTTAATATGATTTGGCCTACTAGGGGTGGAGTGCCCGATTGTTCCTTGTACTCTAATACCAACTACGAGACGACTACCAAGTTGAATTATCTGCTTCCCTCCGACGGTTTGAATTGCAGTAGACATGCACCAATACTAAGCGTTGATCCTCGTTTTTTTTCTAACAAGTTCTCTGAACCGCTTTTATCGAAAAAATAAGAAACAATGAGGAAAGAAAGAGTCCAAGATAGTGTTTAATATAATATACAGCTTAGCTTACATGACATAAAATGTTAGAAATCTGACAAAATATGTCTCTATTGTTAATGACTACTTAAGCGAAATGTGGATTTAATTCTTTATACAATTTCATGCATCTACGGATCTTAACCCGTTGCCCATGCGAAAGCCTGACATGAGGTCTAGTTTTCATTAGAGATAGCAACGATACTGTTTTCCTCAACTCTACATATAAATATATATATATACATGCAGTCCCCACACAATGCAACCCAGATGAGTAAGGATGTCTGGTGCGCCGCGAATAAGAATTTAAAAGAAATAGCAGCGAATGGTGAATAGCATAATATTTAGGATCTCATTACTTGAGTAGCAAAATTTATAATATCATATAACGTTTTCATAAACAAAAAAATAGAGGCTATATGAGTATCCATTTGAAAGACAAATCATGCATATATGCATCTAATAATATTTTACATTCACAATACAAAAAAATACAAATGATTATTATACACCATTTTTATCCTACATACACATGTTTTGCTTTTTTGAACCCGGAACAGTAGAGAGAAACCTGTTCAGATTAAAAACGCGATACCCCTTTGATGGGTTTGCTAGACCATTTGTCTTTATCACTGCCGCATCATCCTTTCCTTGACGCATTTTTCTGGAATTCTTTAATTTCAGTGAATTCATTCCTGGCTCCGTATTAGCATGCTCAATGGGAGTTACATGGAAGTGCTTTATTGAACTTTTGTGAGATTTCAGCGACGGAGGCTGCACACCTTCACAGGTGTTGTTGTGCGAAACGAACGACCTTTCCGAACGCCTCGAATAACGCGCAGACGGGCTGTGGGATCCCCTGCCGTTGACTGTTTCAATCTCCCACAGGCTCGCCCGACATGCGTTTCCTGTCGAGCTGAGCTCTTTCAAGCTTCCCGCCGTCGTCTCGTTGAATCTCGTAAATTGGGAGCTTTGTCTTCGAACAGTCATAGTTTCATCGTGGGATTTTACTATCGAGGATAATCGCCCCGAATCCAGCGAATCCTCAGTCGATAAGAAAATCTTCCCAAACACTCCTCTACGGGAAACGACGCCGCCCGCCGAATTTGAGGGACTCTTGTACGGTTTCAATAACGTCCCCCGACGGCTCCCTGCTTCACTCGTCCTCCGAATCTTTTCATTAATGCGGGTTGATTGAAAGCGAGGGGAGGGTAACGGAAATAGCGACCCCTTCACACTCTTATCATACTCCCGCGGATGAGTATCACGTTCAAGCACCTTGCTCGCCGCACTTTCTTCCCTCCACGTCTCCATCTTGAGAAGGCCTCGACGGTAGCGCTCTTCACGATACGCCTCGTACGTCGGGAAGCGCTCCCGCAGCAAAATACGGCTGTGAAAGACCTCATCCGGCAGATCCTGCACATACGCGATGAGGCGATCTTCATAGCTATCCTCGTTTGCCCTTCCCTTGACTTCCCTCGAAGAGTCCCTGCCGCTTCCTCGCGTCGACGGCGATCGTGCTAGGTTGGCATGGAGGGGCTCTGCTAAATTGCAGAATGCGATAGCGTCGGCGCCGTCGCCATAGTAAAGCGTCCATGAACCGCAGAGGTTCTCAATCCGACAAATCGCGCGTTGGTAATCCTCCTGGATTCGCTTATGGCGGCGCTGGTAGAGCTCGGAGGTCTTCAGAATGGCCTCAAGATCGGATTCCAGCTGTAGTTGCTCCGCCACCGCTGCGCGGGTGCCTTCGGCGAAGACGTTAAGCACGTCAACTCGCCCGCTCGACGAAACGCTCCTCGGCGGGTGAAAGATCTCACCCCGTCCGATCGGGTTATCCTGCGTCGGAAGCTGCCCTACACGCGAGCTGCGGAGCCTGCATACCGGCTCCACCCCGCTAATGCTCACGCAGCGCGCCGAGCGAGGGCTGGGGGTGGCATTTGCTACGGAAGTCTCGGCACGGCTGCTGCAAGAAGCTCTTCTGAGCTTCTTTAAGGTGTTCGTCTCTGGAACCGCCACAAAGTTGAAGGTGTGCATGGTGCGTATTTGCTCCGGCGTGAAGTTGGTTAATGGTGCAAGTAAAGAGCGCCCGATCGAAATGGAGGCACTTCTCCTATTCTTCCTACCTGACGCTGGTGAGAAGACACGGCGTATACTGCTAGCAATGGACCTTCTTCTATGAGGGGAATATATAGTGCGTGAGAAACGCCGGCTCGACAGATCATTCTCATTGTATAGCGTGTAGGACTCAGAAAAAAGATCCGAACATTGAAAGGGTTGAATTTCGTCCACGATCGCCTCCGAGCTCTCACACAGACATATACGCACAATACACCACCACTCCGCGTAGTCATGCTCCGTGACGAGCGCGAGATCGCGGTGGAAAATAAAAGGGAGGGAGAAAAACTTCTCGAAAAAAGTCTCAAAACCAACATTTTCAGTGGTTCCCCGGTAAATCCACTCTTCGTTGGCGATGTCAAGGTGCATTTGCGGAAGATGCGTCGGAAAGAATAAATTAAGCAACTGCAGTACAAATTTCGTGAAGCCATCCTTATTCAGTTTCATATCCGCATCCAAGCCCTGACGATGAAACACATCTTTGACAGCCTGCCGCGCGATCACGGACTCCTTATGGAGGTAATTCCACGTTTCTAGCATACGTAGCTGGATTTTCTTTCGCTCTGCCGCATCTATTGGTTCAAGGCCTAAAAGTTTCAACAAAGAGTCCGGCAAGAGCAGATCATGTGGGGATGGAAATAAACCCACCCAGCAACGGGCAGACTGAACGCACGAAAGATCCGGCGTGCTTCGTAACGGAGGCTTTTGCAGCGGTGGCTCCACCTGCTGAAGACGGAGAACGGGCCGCGGGATGCATGGCACACCAGCAAGCAAAATGGAATCCTCCTCTGAAACTCTGCATTTTGTGGATCTTTTATCCATAAAAACACTTTTATCTGTTGAAAGGGAGTTATTATCTCCATTCGCTGTGGATGAAATTTCACGGGACGTGTCGCTTCCCCCTAAATTTACCAGTGCTCGGAGATGGCCACCGTGGCGTTGTTCAACTTCATCGTGTAGTGCGCAACAGTAGATCTTAAAATGAATCAACCACAGACTCTGCCGAAAGGTACCCAGCAAACGAGCGTCGTTATTCGTTGCAAGTTTATTGTTATCCTTGTCCGTCTTCTTTGTCCCGCATGAGAGACTCGCTGGTTTATTTCTCTGAGCAGGCATCGCGACGATGTTGATAGTCATGGGCCCGTCATAGACAGGTGCTAGCAAGCCTTGCATCCGATTCTCATGTTTCAGCGACATCGCCACATCCGCAAGCAGTTTGCGGTCCTCGTCATCGGGTTCATCTTCTTCCTCCATCGGGATGTGGTAACCGCTCACCTCCGCCACCTGGGAGAGCAGGTTTGGCATGGTGAGGATTCTAGGTCCGTACTTTCGCGAGAGCACCCGGAAGGTATTCTCCCGATTCACTTCCTCCTGCATGCGCCGGAGCTGCCAGTCACGCAGGCGCCGCGCGAGCCGCCGTCCCTCCTCAGCTGACGCGTCCCGCGGCCACATCGCGTGCGTGGGGTCGGGCCGCAGCCGAATGAACCCGCTCGGCGGCAGCGCCCGCTCCCAGAGGTAGGAGAGCCCGTAGAGGTGAT